GGATAGAGAATGAAAAGTGTAACAAAACTGGGTATTTGACGAGATTCAGTTATTATGCGATCCTGGCTTTTCGTAGGGCTTTCTGCAAAGTCTTGTGGGAAAAAATGAAAAAATATTTTTTTTGGTTTTAAAGTTGTTAATAATTTCTTTTGTGGAAGGAGACTGACAACAGTGTGTCTGACTGGGGCTACGCACTGTTTTTTTAAAGATTCTGATGCAATTTTGCAGTGGTTGATTAGACTGTCAGTGTCAACAATCACTGGCATCGTCAAGAAAAACCACTGTCATTACTCTTATCTTACTGATCAGAGTTTGTGATCTATTGTTTTTCACTTCTCTAACTAAACCAAATGGTTTGTGATTAAAGTTTCTTTGGTGTTGAAAAGATGCAAAAGAGGAGCAAAAAATGTAGTGCTGTTGAGCTTATGCTGAAAATTTTATGATGATCCTAACTAGTCGAAGCAATTATTTATACATATTCTTGTAGCTCTCTTTATGGACTATGTGTGGCACTTTCCCGTTATCGTTAGTGTAACGGAACTTCGTTACCTATTACCAGTAATCGGTAATAGAAACCCATTACCCGTTACCAGTAACGGGAACCAAAACCCGTTACCCGTTACTTGCCGTTACCGGGTCAAGATAATTGACCGATAAACGGATTGACCGACAAATAACACACTAGCGCAGCCATTGATGTGGTAGTTATGCCTCATAGTGTTTTCAAGTGACTATCTTGAGTTTGGAGCAGTTATATGGCAAAACATATCGTTTTTAGCTTCAACGAACATGAATTCAACGATCTGTGGTAGAAATGAGCTAAAACAGAGTAGTCTGCGAAATTCGGTTACTGTCTGTTACATGATTCTATGATACAGAAAGAAAATGCAGTAGAATGGAGCATAATACATCAATAAATATTACTGGAAATGAAGTTTCCTTTTTGTGCTTAGTTGTTCAAATCGAATTAACGACAGCAACAGCTAAGAACAGAGCTTATTTCTTGATCTAGGAATATACTACCACTCGTAAATAACATAAACTTCATATCACACAGTAATATTGATATTGTCTCACTAATCTTGGCCAATATTTTGAACATTGAATCGCCAAACAAGAAAACAAAATATCAGACAGCGGATATTCTATAGAAGATTAATCGACCGTATTTATAACTCTAGAATTTTCAGATCTTTAAAATCGAACGTTTTCGACTTGCTACAATTACGAATCTGACGAATTTGTAATCTTTTTCACAGTTTTCTAGTTCAGCTTTTCACTACTTTGATGGAACTGCTAGTGCTCAAGAAATGTTTTCTAGATCCATTTCTGAAGGCTCGATTCTACCATGTTTTACTCGGTTTTTTCTTCGAGAACACGATGTAATCAGCTTTCTACAGAACCTCTTTACTACCAGAAGAATAAATAAAAAAACGAACACATTTCATATATTATAAATTGTTTAATAACTATATAAACAAAGAAGGCAGTGCTCAGTGTAATTTAACTCACAAGAGAAGTTCAGAAAGATATATACGGAGCAAAGAAGAATATATAACGTATAGAACTGCTACAAAACATTTATTTAGATTTCTTCAGAATCAAACTGAAACTGCGCGCATTCACACAGCGTATCTCACAGATTTTCAACCAAAATGACTAAGAAAAGTAAAGATACGTAAAAGCAAAAATATTTTTTCTGTATGCATAATATTATTCGCATAATATGGTCGAAAAACATCTACTATACTGAGTACATTTATATAGAAGCTCAATAATAATACTGAAAATAAAATAAAGAAGAGTCTTGCGAGTCTACCGAGTCTAAAACATTATTTAATTTCGTCGAAAAATGAGGGAGCTATGAGCGATTGATTGCATAAAAGACTTTCTATGGTGTTCTATGCGAAGCAAATGTCAATAGAGATATATCTTATATATATGTTGCAGTAGAAATTAGAATTCAGTAGAATTTAAAATTCTATTAGTTAAAATGAAAGTTTCATTTTCTACTACCTAAATTAATTTCTTCTGATTTCTGCAGCTTTGAGTTGACACTGAACATTCAGGGCTTTTCTTGTAAATTCTATAACTTTGCAAAGAAAGATCATGTAGAGCTGGGAGATGTCTCATTTTTATGAGAACTTCGCGGGCTACAATCATGTCTCATTAACAAAGGTTTTGGTTATTCTGTTAGAGTTGCTGAAAAACTCGTTTTCCAGAAAACCGGGTCTTAAAGAGTCGTCAGCCGATATACTTTTAGGCATTTTATCTACTCGAGACCCCCTATCGAATGATGCATGAACGAACGAAATCGGAGCGGGGCACCTGGGAAAGTTCCCTCGTGAGTTATTAGTTTAATTCGAAGCGCCCCGAAATTTCAAATAGTAATCAGAATCCTTTTTGAACCGAAAAACTTAGAAAAATTGAAATTTTTGATTGGAGTCAAATTTACTGAAGTTTCTGAAATAGGCTAGATTTTTCATTTCTTTAAAATTCCAAAAGCATTTTACTGTGATTCTCACGTAAAACCGAGTATAGAAAACGGACTTTGATATTTCTAAAATTTAAACTCACCAAGGACTTAAAAACGAGGGCAAAACGGGTATTAGTAAACGAAGCTATACCATTAACATTGACTAACACCCAGAGAAAAGTGTTTCAGGGACCCCACAGGCGTTACAAATATACTTCTCTGGGAACTATTGCTATCATCTTCCTGCTAGACCACTAGAACAACAACAAAAAGGTTTTTCTACCCTAAATCCTTTGTTTTCATCTACATACGAAAAATCCACGATTTGTTTCCTTTCAAAGATAACAAAACCGATACAAAACAAAATATGACTCCAAAGTGGACACAATATGAGTTTAGGACGTACCGGATACAGGTCACTCTATGGGAACGAAATCATTGCCAGAGGTCGGATTTGCTTTGAATTGAAGGAAAGTGTTGGTTCTATTTATGTAAAAAATGTGAGCTCTTTGTCTTGTACAATTGCCAGGATATGAGCAACACAGAGTTGTCAATATGAGGTGTCGCACTTTTCAAAACTACGTTGAAATTTTCAAATACTCATTTCTCAACAATCAAGCATTATTTTTTCAATTGTCAATTCAATTTTCAAATTTTCGCCGCTTATGCGAAATGGCTCTTAAGTGGAAGCGAAGTTTCATGTACATGTTCACAGATCTGACGAGGAATGACATTTCTCGCGAGAATTCCTCCTTAGTGCAACAGGAAAGCATCCTAGAGCAAAATCGTAGGATCAAAAAATGTGCACCATGCAAGTCTGCATTATATGATTTTTGCTTTCAAAAACCGGGAAAGAAAACTAGAAGAACTTCTTTGTTATAAGGACTCGTGACATGCTCGTTGGATTCTCGTAGTAATAAAGGATTTATATTTCAAAATGGATGCGACTAATTGCGTTTACGTACGATAACCGCGTTTAAATCCTTTTAAAAAAATGAAACGCTTTTTTTAAAATTGAAAATTTTTGAGCGACATGCGTAGAATTTGACACTAGTGAGTTGGTATGTTATAACAGAGATCGCGGTAACTGCAAACTAATCTTTATACTTAGATTCGCAATGTTCTGTTGACTATGAAAAACAACAACTTTTGCTTGACTCTTTTTATCGCCTAAGTGAGTATGGTGATCTTTAGCAAATTTCTTGAGTGAGTATGATGATTAAAATTCCAGTAAAAAAAAAGCATTTTTAAACTTCGCAAATAACCTGATAAGCTGCTTTTCTAAATGCAGTCATTAATGCGAAATGCGTTTAGCAAAATCTTTTTTAACGGTTTAAAGATAAAATAAAATTCTTTATTTTTTCATTTTCTGCTGCAAAGCACGGAGGTGGAACAGATGAAATGGGTACATCAAATCAGAAGTGATGTGAAGGTTTGTTGTCTTTCAACCACTTTTTTTCTAGTTTTCAACTACCATTCGTGGAGATGCAGACATTCGATTCAGTCCCACACCACATGTATACTTATGATGCAATTCTTTTTTTCTCTTACTTTCCCGATAATTGAATGAAAAAAGATAAAAAAAATTGTGTTTATAAAAGTATTCTCTTTGCAGCAGAAAATGAAAAAATAAAGAATTTTATTTTATCTTTAAACCGTTAAAAAAGATTTTGCTAAACGCATTTCGCATTATTGACTGCATTTTGAAAACAGCTTATCAGCTTATTTGCGAAGTTTAAAAATGTTCTTTTTACTACTGTTATGGTATGATTATCATGGACTATGGTCGTTTATTAATTCTCGCAAGAAATGTTATTCCTCGTCAGATCTGTGAACATGTACTTATCTAAGAGAGACACCCCACCTGTGTGTTAATTTACTCTTTTCTAGTTTATAAAAAGATCGATTAAATTTTAATGCAAAGACAATAATAACAGAACAAAAACAAATTCTTTATGTAAGCGAATAAAACAATATTTTCATATTTATCCTAATGGGAAAAGGAAGTCTTTAAAATGTCATTTTGTCTTTACACTTGCTCTGTTACGTTATATTAAATAAACGACCATAGTCCATGATAATCATACCATAATAGTAGTAAAAAGCACAGCAGCAGTTTTCACACATTTGCAAGCTTCATGGTCTTAAGTTCAAACGTGACAGTATCATCACCTATGCCAAGAAACATTTATAATTTCAAGATGGCGACAATGCTGCTCATAATAGGTAATCAGTAAGAAAATCCTCTGTAGAGCGCTATACATAGTGACATTAGTAATACGGCATCAGAACTTACACACTGAGAAAAAAAACCCTTCTTACAAGCCGTAAACTAACTGAACGATTTTATTTTGTAGCAAACCTTCGTATAGCTTCTCTTAGTAAAAGCGTTTTTACAGCTTGATTGGTTGGCTGATAACTTCCATACACAGTTTCATGTAAAACGGTTCCGATGATCCAGGACGCAGAGTCACTCATAACTTTACATTAGGAAATGTTCCACTTATTACATAAGAAATTCTAGATGTTTGAACAATGCACCTCGTCAATAAGATCGAAAGTATTCTAACTTTGTTCTCAAAGCTACAATAAAGCTCATAGATACGTTATATACCAACCTACGGCTAAGTTATATCACTGCCTACAGTAGGCGCACTAACCTTTACATCGAATGTAATCAAATCAGGCGCAAAAACATCTGGACAACCTAATTTTCTAACTTTCTTCCACTTCCCATCTTCTTAAATCATCGGTGTTTTATAACTACTAGCCTATCTTCCATCCATCACCTTCGCGGTATGTGCTGGTGCTAGATGGTCAGAACCAGGAACAACGAGTTTAGGTGATCGTTCGGTTAGTGGTAATTCATCGACACTGTTTAACGGTGTACTGAGCATTTTTCTTGACAATAATCAAAATCTTTATGTGTCGGATTATGGTAATTATCGTGTTCAGAAATGTAATCTTACTACGCGACAATGTACAACAGTTGCCGGTGGTCATGGAAATGGTACAGCAAGCAATCAGTTTGGACTTATTTGGTAGGTGTATTACTCCGTTTTTTAACTGGAAACGAAAATTCGAAGGAGGCCATCAACGTTAACTAGACCCCCCCATAACAGAAGATCATCCACTACTAGAAGACCACTGCCGATTATAGGACTTGAAAGCCAAATAGAAGATCATGGTCGTCTACTGTGTCCGCTAAATAAGTCGGAAAATGCCCTGAAAAAAAATCTCGCCAAAATGTTTTTCTAATAAGGTATGGACTGTAAGTATGTGAGGGGTTACCGCTGGATTATTAGCAGGCCACAGAATTTGACCGCAATAGAAGACCACCCTTTAGAACTCGACTTAGCCGGGCGAAACTTGCGAATGTTATGCAAATAGGCGAGTTGAACACACTAAAATTATCTGCAATTCATAGCTAATCAACGCCTTGCGCTACTGTGAATGTGCTATAAAAGCAGCCTTACACTAGATTAAACATGGTGCCTGTATATTCAGAGCAACTATCCGGTTATAGCTATTAATACGCCAAACTACAGAAAATATGGAAAATTAAGATACAATATTTTCAGAATCCAACCCTGCACCGTTTACCTCATCTCACACTACAGATTACGTAAAGATCAACCAAGCTGGAAATCGTGTGCCCTTAGGCTCACACAGCTCTTTCAAAAGTCAGTCAGAAAAAGTTAACATTTAAAAGTCATTACAGAGAAAGGCAAGTGCTGGAATTTTGGATTTCATGCATAAGCTGAATCTTTGAAGAGATCATATATACAAATGCCATTTTTTCTTTGATTACCCACTGAAAAAAATAATCAAAATTCATGCAGGATCCCGCGGGTTATCGGTATTAAAATATCTGGCGATGTTTCTTACCTTTACGCAGGATTTTTATACTGTCAGTCCTGACAGAACCCTGCATAGTTTATGTAGGGT